TTAACCAAGCAATAAATTAATAGATCATTCTTCTCTCTCCAACAATTATCCTATTCAATTGCCAGGTTTGAAGGCAACCCAAAAGGACATTGCTACTATCAATTCAAGTACATAACAATTATAGTTATGGGCTTAGACACCTAATCCAACATTCTCTTCGCTGCTTCGGGTCCGAACCTCGGGCCTATATATAGAAGGCATGCGAGCCTTCCCGGGTAACTTTGGGATTTTGCCCTTTTTTACCCCTAAACTCATATTTTCACCATTTTCACATCCCCCGATGCCCCGAGATTATTTCCAACGCCTGGAACACGTCCCGGAGTACCCAAGAAGCCCGGGAAATTTATTTTTTCGGTTTCGAAGCCCGACCCTCGCAGAGCCCGGTTTCTCAATAAAACTCTCGGTTTTATTAGAAACGATCGTTTTAGGAAACGAATTGTTGCCCGATTTTCATTAAATCATGTGAGTGTGTAGTTACTTTCATCTTACACATAGATATGAAGTATTTTATATAAAATACATGCTATGTGTGTATATGTTGTTTCTTTATTTGAGATAGATGTTGGATGAATGTTTTATACATGTTTAAAATGATTTAAAATGTATAAATATTTTATCTTCAAATATGTTGGGTAAAACATGGGTAGATAAAGAATGAGGGATAAAAGTACAGTATAGATGTACGTTGGTAGCTATGAATTTAGTACAGTATAGATGTACGTTGGTAGCTATGTATTTAGTACGTTGGCAGCTATGGACTTAGTGCCTATTGTATAAACCCTGGCGACGATGTGACTTCGTGCCTATTAGATAAACCCTGGCGACTATGAGACATAGTACCTGTTGTATAAACCCTGGCGACGATGTGACTTCGTGCCTATTAGATAAACCCTGGCGAATATGAGACGTAGTGCCTATTAGATAAACCCTGGCGACTATGAGACGTAGTGCCTATTGAATAAACCCTGGCGACTATGTGACGTAGTGCCTGTTGTATAAACCTTGGCGACGATGTGACTTCGTGCCTATTTGACATAAATTGTTGAAGGAAAAACAATGTTGTCACCCCGGTGATCGTCTTATTTGACATAAATTGCTGAGGAAAGCAATGTTGTCACCTTGTTGGTTGTTTTATGTTAGGATGGCTTGTTTGACATAAATTGCTGAGAAAAGCAATGATGTCATCCCTAGTGAAAATCCTTAGGCTAGGTCCCTTGTGATTGTTGTTTTAGGGACGTAAAGTGAGGATAATGGGAATGAGTAATTAGGGTTATTTTGGTTGATGAAATTAATAAATTTATTATTGACTGAGAACTTAATAAGTTTATTATTTATTGTGGGTTGAAAACCCTATATGCTCACCAGGCTCCTAAGCCTAACCCACTCAGTGTAATTGTATCACAGTATCGATACGAAGTTGCTTACACTGAGAGATTAAAGAGAAGTAGATCACTAGTGTAAATGAATGTAAGTTTTGTTTATGCTTATGTTTTTGTATTGATAATGACATCCTAATGGTTTTAGTGAATAAAATACATTTCTTCGGAAATGATTTGATAACATTTTTATCATGTTTTTCTAGGAACAAATTCCGCAACACTTTTAATCAAATGATTACTCTGAAATTATTTAAAAAGCATAACGAAATCGGTCTTTTCTATGGCCGTGAAATTGGGGATGTCACATATATATATATATATATATATATATATATATATATATATATATATTATATTTCTTTTGTATGGAAAATTCACAAAAATCACTAAGTTTTCAATAAATTCGATTTTAACATTGTTTTTTTTTGTCTCAAATTGGACATTATTTTTATCAATTTGTTACAATTCCGACAAATTAACCGGTCAATCAGGTTATCAATTGACCTAACATGTTGATGTATTTGTTTTGACAAGTCAGTTGACCGGTTAAGTGGTTAAAATTGTAACAAATTATTAGAATAATGTCCAATTTGAGATATAAAAAAACGAAGCGTCAAA